TTCTGATAGCCAGAGCAATTAACTGTTCGTTCACTTTTTCTCTTGGAATTTTATTGTTTAAATATTCTGTTTACCAAGAACAAAAATAAGCAAAAATAAATAACTAATTTAGATCTATATGTTAAAGAGTCATAGAATTAAAAATATTTTTATTCAACACTTAAATAATACTGCAGTGTATGTAAGTACCTGGAAAAAAGTAGTAGCAGCCTACATCTTATTATTTTCCCTCTGTGTGCATCTTCTGTATTTTCACTGGAATTTTGGAAATCTTCACCTTCTCCAAGTGTTTTCTCACAGGCCTGGGTCTCCCACAGCGTGTCTGGGGCATAGGGATGTGTGCCAAAAGCTAGGAAAAGCTTGAGACAATGCAACGGCACATTGTGTATTTGGTAGGTTGTGGTTTTACCAAATGACTGAAGAAAGAAGCATTGGAGAGTTCCCTACTCCAACTTTTAGGACATAAAGAGTAATTATATTTCTAACTAAGCCATAATTTAATAAGCCTAACGTTTAGCTTGGTAGGGGGCTGACCCAAAAAGACTTAACTGGAGATAAAGGAGACATCACTGCGCGTTGCTGGTGCTGAATACCGTCTCTCTCCTTTGGCACTTCAGCTGCGGCGCTCAGGCAGCATCAGCTGCTCGTTTAAAATTACAGGGTGTGCTATCATTTCATCTTATGTCTACAGAAATTTAAAAATATTACGTTAACTCTGGTTTTTTTGCATGTCTACGTTGAAAATAAGTGAAATTTGCCAAGTTTCTTGTCACAGCTCTGGTGTTTATGTGTTTGTTTTCTGTTTACGCAGGCTGTGGGCCTGACTGGAGTGTTGTCAAAGCTTTTGGACGGCAGTAGAATTGAAGAGTTTAGTTTGGTTTTTATGCAGTTGGATTGCTGATGTTCAAATAGAAAAAAACAAATTGTAGAGTGGCACTGCTGCTACATTTGGAGAGAGCAGTGATTGAATATTGACTTCAGCTGCATATATAAATACTTGCTTATTCTTGGTGTGCAGGAGATGTAAGTTCACAGTAGAGATTGAGATGTACTGGGTTACCACGTCAGCTGAGTTATGGTAACTGTCCATATGAGTCCTCCCGTGGTATAGCATGTGCAAGACAGCTTAACCTGTCTAACAGACCGTTGCGATCAATGAACTAGTATGTGTTAGCTTGCCAGCCTCTGGCAGCTTTTAGAACACGTAAACTCGTCAAAAGGAGAGCGAGCATCACGGTGGTCACTATGGCATGCTGTTTAGCTACAGTAATGCTTAAGGAACTATTAATTCTTTCTGGAGATAAGGGAATATGTGAGACAGCCGCATTTCAAATTAGTTGTTATTGTTGCTGCGGTAGCGGTAGCTAGACACGGTGAGGGGTGGTGTACTGGTGCTGTTGTGCTGTCGCAGTGCCAGCTGCAGGAGGGGTCAGACAGCGTAGCGCTGTGGGCAGCCGTGCCGGGGGGGCTCCCGGCGGCGGTGCGGCCCCGCGCTCGGCCCCTGCCGTGCAGCGCCGTCACCGGCTCCGGAGGTTTGGTCGCGTCTCGGTGCGCGGGCTCCGACTGCAGCGGTGGCCTTCCTGTGAGTGACCGGGCTGGGGCAGAGCTTTCCACATACGCATTCCTAAATTCTTCTCCAGGGCACCCGTACTTGCCCATATCAGCTGCAAGTGCCTCCTGACGAGTCGCCGGGCCGCTCGCCCTCCTCGCAGCTCTGCGGCACAGCCGCTCAGTCTCGTGTGGGACGTAAGGTGGCCGTGGTACCTTGTGCGGTGTCCAGCAGAGTGGGGACAGGAACACGGCATCTGAGTGAAATCAAGAAGGTGATTTTCAGTCTTCAGCTTTTCTGACAGCTGTCGTGAAGTTTAGGTAAAATATTTCTGAAGAAGTCCGTTCACTTCTATCAACAAAAAATAGCAAAAACGTGAAAGAAAGCTCATTATACTGATTTTGATGGTTGCCAGCTACTTGTGCTGTTGCAGGGTGTGGAGTTTAACGTATGCCACTTGATGGGAAAAATCCTCCTGTATCAAGGATTTACAGTTGCACAAATCTTGAAGCCTTCAAAATACATGAAATCATAAATATGTTATTGGTGAAGATATTTAAAATGAAAGACTCTGTGATAAAGGACTGATGAAACAATGTGTTGAGCCTTAACAGGCACTTAGCAAGTTCTGACTGACAGCTCTGCTGAAGCAACAAGTACAAATCCCCGCAAAGAAACCATTTGCCACTGGCTGTCTTAACGGAACAGATATCTTCCAATGATGAAAGCTTAGCCAAATAATAAGCTAAAAAATATTAAAGCAAAATGTGTGAGGTACATAAATTTTCAACAAAACTTGTCTATTTTGCTTTCTACAGCTTTCCACCATTTTAGAATAACTTAATAAATAATTTAATACTTCAGTTTTTTCCACTGCTGCCCTTTTTTGATGACAGCCGTGGTGTATGCAAGTGGTCAATATAGGAAATGAAAATCACTAATTTTCTTTCATGGAATATTGTTTAAATTGTAGAAATATATTTCATCTTATGGAATGCTTGCTAAGGCAATAGGCTTAAATCGTCGCATGTCACGTAGTATCTGCAAAAGACACATGTAGCACCGAGAATTTAGGCGAACGCTCCGATTCGGAAACCACACGTAAACTGAAAGATTTTGGTCTGGAAAAGTGGGTAGATTTATTTTAGGGAAGTTCACATGCATGTAACACTTTCAGCTACCCAATATTTGTGCTAGTACCTTAAAAAAACTCAGTATGTTTCAGTGTCTGTGTTTTATGTACGCTTAGTGCAGAGCTGTTTTTACTTGCCTTATTCTTTGTTCCCTTGCAAAGTAGATTGAGAAGGAAAAAGAAAATTCTTTTCATGTAAATAAGTGACCCTATGTCGGATGTTTTATCTATGCTTTCCTTCCATACCATTTGATAAATAGATACTGTACTGTAACAATATTTCTGTCTTCTTTATTTCAAAACTATACACATTATAACAAACTGTTGTGAAAGAAAAATATAATTTCTGCATGTCTACCCTACTAATCTAATTCTTCCTCCAGGATAAAAACAGGCAAAAATTAAATATTTTTGAAAGTGCAGTGCCACTTATGTGGACTCTTTAGATTACACATTAATATTAGGAAGAGACAGCATGACGAGTTTAATTAATGACTGCAGAGCTTCTCAGTGGTAGGGCAGTATTTGACTACTTTGGTTTTTAACCAAAGAATGGAATAAAATGCATTAGACATGCTTATCAAAGCTGAAAAATTTGGTAACTTCAAAAAGTAAGGTGACAACAACTAGATGATTAAGTCACTAGGTGGCAGACACTGAACTTCTTACAGAAAGAATTTATTAAGAATTAAGTTAAATCAATTTCTTAACTGGCTTAATTGTTCATGAAGTAGTTTTCTACTTCTGGTCTGTAGTCAGGGCAATGTTTATCTTTCATAAATCCTATACATATAAAGAATTTCAGTTAGCCAGGTGTGTCTGATAGATACATTTTTGTATGTATATATATATATATTATATTAAAATATACAGTGTTTTTATATATTATATGTATTTAAAAATCTTATATATGCAAAAATACAGTATTTTTATATGCTTAGCACTTTTTTTTCTTTGCTAGCACCACAGAATGGTGTCATCTCATTTTAGGGAATTGAGTTTCTTTAAAGTCAGAGAAAGAAAGTAAGAGGAGGTGCAGTGTGTATAGTTTGATGTTCAGGTAGCGTTAAGAATCGGGGACGAGTTTTTACAATATCTGTAAAATAGCCTTCATGTTTCTTAATTTCAGTGGAGCAAAGTATTAATGAATAGGCTAATAGTAACTGATTAAGAACCCATTGTTTCTGGATGAGTTTATTCAGTAAAGAGTAAAGATCATATACAGCAAAGAATGCATGTAGGTTGACTAATATGCAAAACTCAGCTTTGGGTAATTAAAGTTTGTTCACTTTTATACAAATTCTGTTGAATTCCTTACCACTTTTGGTACAAATTTTCTCCCAAATTTTTGACAACAGAAATAGCTTTAAAGGTTGCAATAAGATAAGTACAAGGTTCAGCTTGCAAGCCAAAAGCTGATAAAGTTGCACAGAACTTATTTTGGCATGTGGTTAAAATCCCCAAAATATGCTGAAAAAACATTCTGAAGTTAATGCAGTAGTTGCATTCAGTGGATGATGTGCTAGAAATGAGAAATACTTTTAACTTACTTAAAGTGAAAGGCCCAAAGCAAAAATTGCAAAAATTGAGGATCTGTCCACATGGCACTACTTCCTGCTCTGGAGTAGCCAGGTAAGGGTAGTACAGTTTCTTCAGTGCAGGGTTCCACCTGTGTCTAGGTGCTTCTGGTTTCTGCAGGGGTGTACCATGTTATTTTAGTCTGATGTTCTTTTGCGGAGAATGTTACAATAATTTAAGAAACAGCTGTTTGTTACCTTCCGTCAGCTGGAGTCTATGATCTTTTCTGGAACGCCTTAACAGGTTCTGTGTCGTGCCAAATCTGGGTTTAATCCCAATTTAAAATATACTGCTGCAGATGATTTAAACTAATCCAGCTGACTTTGCACAGAAACGGAACGACAGAACTCACAAAGTCGCAGAACCTGCTAATCATACGTATGTGACCGTTTGGGAAGTTCTGCTGTGTGCTTTATTTGTGTCATCACACCTTAAATAAGAAGCGCAAATCATAAGTCATGCTCTTACCTGTCCTACTGCAGATAGGTTTTGCCTCTTGATGATTTCCAATACAGGAAATAACAAGGCATTCCCCAAGTTCAATACAAAATAAAAAATTAAATACACAAAGGTTAAATTCTCAGATGTAAAGTGTTGCAGAGTATAACTTACATGGAGTATCAGAGATTTGTCTGCTGCTCTTTGTACAATTTTCTATGCTTTGGTTAAAAAAAAAAAAAAAATCCAAACTAACCACTTGGTTCAGATTCATTTTTGTGACTTTTTTTTTCCTTTCTACAGCTCTACTGAGAAATCATTTCCTTGGAGATCATCAGGTATGATCTTTTATGTGTACCTCCTGCCATCTTAGTGCCTTAAGGCTCCAAAACTTTATTTTTTTGGCATTTATGGCTTGTTTTGAAGTAAACTGAACATTGACTTTGTTACAGTAGCGGTGCTATGTGTCTTTTTCAAGTATCTTTTCCAAACTGTAACATTAAAGTACTTTTTCTCAGATGCAAAGAGATTTGTGTATTGCAAAACCACATTTTGGCTTAAGTAGAGGTAGGTACTTTTCCGCCTGGACTACACCTTATCATGCCTTTGAATTTTTGTGAGAGATTGGACGGTATCAGAATTCTTCTTGAATATTAGATCTCCTTTACAATTAATTCAAAAATACTTTTGAGTTTTCCCCTTGACTGGTAAGGGTCATGAAAATAATGCTGTATGTTTTAAGCTTGACGACTATTTTTCTTTTTGCAGGTATTCTTAGTTAAACTGAGATAACCTTCATTTTTTGAGGGTTTTCCTAAGAGTGCTTTTTCTATTTTTGTATCTCAGCATAACTTGAACTTTCTTTCCCAAACAAAACATTAGTCTTACAGTACGTTTACATCTTTCTTCTCCTGAGTATATTAGGTGGCAGTGGATAGAATTGTTTATTAAAGGCAACATTTAGGTGTATAGGCTGAAAGGGACTGTTAAAATAATCTAATCTGACCTTCAGATTTCACAGATCAGAGCATTTAGCTAATGAGGGTTTTGCATCAATTACAACGTTTAGCGGTTGAAGAGTCAATCTTCTGAGCAGCTGGTAGTCTGTTTAGAGTGATGAAGTGGATGTGCAGAAATCAGCATCTCAAGAACACACAGCAGGACCCAAAATAGGACCTTGATTCCCTGCTTTTTGCATTGGATCATGTTACTCAAATTCAATTGTGTGTTCTTGAAGGAATATCAGGTTAAGCAAAACTATTTTGATGTAATAACAATGCAATTAAAATTTTAGGTTGCTTGTTAAGAGTTTATTAACTTAGTTCTGAATTGTGATGAAAGCATTTAATTATGTAAGGAGTGCATGCAGTTTTCACAGCTATCCAGCTTCTGCTCTGCAAAGAATAACACTTCTTAGTCATCTGCTTATTCACTTGAGCATATCTGGAATTATGGCTGTTCCAGATTGTTTGGATTCTACCTGCGTACTATTCTTAGCTTCTGCAAGTTGCTGTTATATTCCACCTTAACTTATGATAGCTCAGTTACAAGAAAATAATGTGCTTACCCAAAATTAAAGCATATTGCCCATCTCAAACCAGAAAATAATTTCACCATAATTATAAAGAAGAGGCAGAGAATGTCCTACTTAATTAGCGTGAAGTTTTTTTATAGTAATAGTTGACTATGCTTCCATGATTTCCTATTCATTTATTGCATTTCTTGCAATATGAAGCATTTCTTGCGTAACAACCATCTTCTGTTATTAGAATTACTATTGCAGAAGTTATAGTACCAGAAGTAAGGAACCATTGCCTAGATTAAAGATACGGTTATTTAGGTTTACTTTTCCCGGTGCTAAAGGTTCATAGGACTAAAAGCACTCTCATAAGCAGCTACCTTCCCTAAAAATCACTTTAAAGAATATATCTTATGTTTTTAGCTTTCTATATGCTGAAAACTAGGCAATTTTAGATGCCATCTAGGGCTTTTTTTTTAAGATAGAGTTTCTTGTGTCAACTGAGAAAAAATATACTGGACGTGACAGGTCACAGAATTATAGAAGAATTTGTTGGAAAGGACCCCTGGAGGTAGCCTGGTCCAGCAGCCCCCTCACTCCCCAGAGGAGAGCCAACTTCAAAATTGGATCCAGTTTCCAAGCTAGATAAGATTGTTCAGAATCATGATGGAATATAAAATTTGGTGATAAATGAAGGGCTGTTCTATCTTCTTCTGGTCTATTGTTCACTTACAGCACCTGAGGACTTATTCTCACACTGAGTGCTACTCATGCAAGTAGGAATCAGAAGCCTAAAGTTTCTACTCCTTTTCCTAGACTGTCTTTCAAACTGTCTACCCTCCTTTCTCCTTCTTATTTTCTTTTATTTAAATGTGGTGTATAATAATTGTAATTACATGGTGTCAATTGCCATCATAGTTTCACCTCAGCTGAGGCGAGGCACGCATTCGTTCTTTGCCTTTATTTTTTAGATCCAATGTTTTCAACAACCTATTTGCCTTTGCATTTAAATTTTGCTAATCATGGTGGTGCTTTCCATGTTTTTTTAAACTGTTTTTAAGGAAAAGCCAAGTTTGTTTTTTCAAGTAATTCAGAAATTAGTTTGGCTAATTCTTTCATTTTGAAAACGCTTTTTTTCTTTTCACTTTATTTCCCTTGGTTCTGTAATGTTCCAGTGACTGTCCACAACTGGAAAAGATATCTTTTGACAGATCTCAGTCTTTATTTTAGTGATTTCATCTCATCCAGTTGTGTTCCATCTCATTCTGCATCTTTATTTTATTTCCTCCTTAGTTTCTTTCTGTAACTATTCTTTGTCTTTTGTTTGTTTTTTCTCCTTGACTTTCCATTACTTCCTTTTTCTTCCTTTCATCTGTCCATCTCCTCTTATTTTTATCTTACCCTTCAAGTCTCTCCTGCCATTTCTGTTTTCTTTTCCTTAGAAACCTTCTGTGCATACCCCCACTAGGAGGGGAAACTTAAGTTTCTGCAAAATGGTAGGACTTGAGAAAGAAGCGAAACCTAGGAATGCTGTTCTTTTTGTAGAAGAATTGGGCTAATATTAAACTAAAGTAGGTTACAAATATATTGCTGTCCCTTTAAAAAATCATATTTCCATTTATACAGTGTATGCAGGAATACAAATCCAGAGGTATATTCCTCACACCTCTGTATGTATCCAAAATAAGGCTCATCTAGAGTAATTGCTCAGAAGTGGGTATGTTTGAAAAGATTTTGCTTAGAATTTAAATTGGTATACATTTTATTTAATGTTTACGTTTATGTAGTGATTATAGCAGGATGGTAGATTTTGCTTACTTATTTACTATTAAGCTTTATTTTAAAAAATGTCAGTGGATGATGTTTTTCCATCTATGATCTGAAAAATACTGAAGTTAGAGATAAATGAAAGCACTTCCTTAAGTCATCTTTTTTTCCTGCATGCAGATAGTGGTTTATATCAAAAAAACATCAGTGGATAATGTGATAAGATGTGACCTTAATGAAAGTGCTTTATGCATCAGCTGAACTATACAGAATTTTTAACAGAAATATAACATGATGTTATTTTGCAGATGCTCATAAATAGAATATTAGATCAGCAGCCATTTATAAAAGACTTATTTTATTCAGGGCATTCTTCTCATGATTTATAGTAGCACAAAGAGGTAGGGAGACAAAAAGTCATTTTGTTGTGCATTCTTGCTTTTGTTAGAGAGCCTAAACAGTCTTATTTTCTGAGCGTTGTGAAAGCATTTGCTTGGTGGCAAATGCGTGACTGCACCAAGGTTTGGGTTCAAACCTCTGTCTTAGGAACATCTGGGTGGCACTGCACAAATTAATTTGATTCTTCCTATGTGTTTCCCCTGAAATCGTTGGTCAGTTTTAATTTGATCTAGTATCATATAATATCAAATAAACAAAATAACAAGGTCTTGTATTATTTTAACCACAAAAATTTGAGGATCAAAATATTGATGTTGAAGATAACTACAGAGTAATTTAAATGTCCAGTTGAAAAAACAACTCTTTTATTCTAAATAATGTTTTAATACCCACTGATATCTTTCATGTTCTCTTTCCAAGTTGGTATTACAAGAGCTGTGAAAGTGAGTTATTTTAGTGTGGTTCTCTGCATCATTTCTAGGGACACTCATGATGAAATTAATGGGAGCATAATAACGTTTCTTATCAGGTCTTATTTTAATTTGGTCGTAATACTTTTAGTTATAATTAATTGATTACCATCAAATTGCTAGATTGTTTTGACGTAAGAATATACTACTGTCAAACTATGCTGACTGCCTACAAGAGATATTGATTTTTGTTTGTTTTTTCAATCTAGTATTTGAATGATGTTGAAACACCGCTCATAATAGCACTTACTGAGTAACATTTTAAGTATGGCTGTTCCATTATGGCACACTTACAGTTATTGAGACACCAGTGCTATGTGTACAGCTATTTATTATTAAAAGTCAGAATATTTATTTTTGGCTTAATAGGTACAAATACGCCGTATTTTAGAATTCTCTTCTGAATAACAGCTGTAACAAAGAATTTCTAATAGCTCATCTGTTTTTGTTCCTGAGCGCTACATTTAAAAACTGAGAACTGTAGAACTTATTCAAAAGTAGAGGAAGTCAGGTCCTCACACGTTAAGCTAATAAGTTCTTTTTGGTTACTTTGGTAGATGGTACGTGCCTACCAGCAGACTATGTTTATAGACATATCATATTGGAAGCTCTTTGTTAGAGCGTGCATGAGAAAATAATTATTACTGAATTTGCAGGAAACTTATATAAGTAACGTTGGATTTATTTAATCAATATATTCTTTCAGATGCTCCAGCCACCAGTGTAAACAAATCTCGTGTGACAGAAAGCGTTCATACCAATGCCTATCACGTTAGAACAGAGCCAGAGCAGGGGAATCTCTACTCTCCAGAGCAGACATCTCTCCATGAAAGTGAGGGTCTGTTGTATGCATTTTAAATATTAGAATATGTTTCTATATTGATGCTATATTAATATAATGTAATTATGAATGCAATAAGTATCTAAATATATAATACTTTGTTTTCAGAAGGTGTGCAATGCTTTTATTCCTATGCTGGCTTCATATCTACAGGGTCTGTAGGTAACTCAAGAAGTTCAACACAAATGAATTCTTATTCTGACAGCGGGTACCAGGAAGTAAGCAGTTTCCATAACAGCCAAAACTTGAGCAAATCAGAAAATAGACAGCAGCATTCTGTTATTGGAACAGCTAATAACCATTTGGTGAGAAGTTCACGAGCTGAAGGACAGACTTTAGTTCAGGTATGCTCAAAATACTGTCTATAACACAGTTTCAAAGACAATAAATATATAGCTGGACCGACACTTCTTATAGGCTGGAATTAATGTTATCAAGTTACATTGTTTTAATTAACGTCTTCACTACTTAAAAAGTGTAAATGTCTGGCAAAATAAACTTGTTCACTGAAATCAGCATTTGTATGATCTGATTCATTTACTGCAACTGAAATTAAGTACGACTTCTGAGGACTCCTGACTACAGAGTATGCTACTAATGCACTATCAAGATAGTATCACTCAGCTAAAATTGTTTCGGTGTGATATTGAACAAAACATCCTACATTTTAGCCCATAAGTAAACGTGCTAAAAGAAAGAAGGTATTTGTGTTCCTGTACCTTCTACCACTTGTTTTTTCCCCCTTTTTCATTAATCAGGTTGATATTAAGATAGTAATCAAAAAAGCATTGTTAGCTATCGCGTTAGAACAGAACCAGAACAAGTCTGCAAAACTGTTCTTGAATTTCCAGTGTAGTAACTTGTTTTTAAAGAAAGCATAACTACATTAACCTAGAAAGCCAAGTAAGAATGAGGAATGGAGGGTTTTTTAACATTAAATTGCTGTTTTGTGTATTAGGAAATTCTGGCTAGAAAAAGGTGAAGAATTGAAATGTGAAATATTTTATAGGAAAACTTAATGAAAGAATAATGTTTAGGGTAAAACTTACTGTTCAATTGCTTTATATGTTGTTAACTTTGTATTCACTTCCTATTGACTTTTCTCTCTTATGTCTTATGGAGGAAAAATATCTACTACGTGGCCTAAAAGATAAAACTAACAAAAATTTTTTTTGTTTTTAAACAGCCTTCAGTAAATATTACTGCCAACCGAGCCATGAGACGTGTTAGCTCAGTTCCATCCAGAGCACAGTCTCCCTCTTACGTGGTCAGCACAGGCGTTTCTCCTTCACGGGGATCACTGCGAACGTCCCTGGGTAGTGGGTATGGCTCTCCATCAGTTGCTGAGCAAAGAGCCCTTACCTCTAATGCATATTCATCCACTACGCTGCCGGTACAGCGGGCAGCATCCCCATATGCTGCACAGAGACCTGCTTCCCCCACAGCTGCGCGACGGATATCCAGACAGGCGTCGAATCCCAATGGCGGCACTGCCCAGTACCAGACGTCGGTCAGAGTCAGCTCCCCTCTGGCCCTCACTGATGTACAAGCCAGAGTAGCTTCTCCCTCTCAAACCCAGCTAGGATCATCTTCCCCAAAACGCTCTGGCATGACTGCGGTCCCGCAGCATTTGGGAACAACGTTACAAAGAACAATTCATGATGTAGAACAATATGGACCACAATACGATATATATGAGAGAATGGTTCCTCCACGCCCGGACAGCCTTACAGGTTAGTAAAAAGGTAAAGACACAGCTTAAAACTTAGTACAAACCTGCAAGTGTAGAAAACCAATAATGCAGTTGTAGCTCTGTGTATGAAACATTGTAGAATTAGGACACAGCCGTGGTGGATTTTTCAGTTGTAAATGCTTATGTCAAACAATATGTGTCAATGATACTGTAAGTTCACAGGGAATACCATATTTTTTCTTCAATTGCTAGTTTGCTAGCCTTATATTAAATTAAATTGTTCATATTCTAAGCTTTATTTTTAAATAGCTAGGTGAAATTCTGAGTCTTCTGAACAGAAGCAATTCAGCACTTCTGAAGATATACTTTAAGTGCACGTACAGATTATATACAAAGTAAAAGATGTTAGGCTGGAACTAGTTTTATGTCTAGTTCTTTTTCAAAAGATGTAGCCAAGTATTATTGAATTTTAGTTGTTGGGTTTTTTTTTCTGATATTCTAGGCTCATAGTACTTCAGTTTCATTAGGGTTATTATCGTAGCATTAGCTTAAAATAAAGCCATAAAAGGTAGAACCTCTTCATCTGAGAGGCATTTCTTATTAAAATGCAGTCATTTTATATTTTAAGTTCTGTGTGTTATTGTTTTTGTTCTGATATTCATCCAAAAGATGTAAGGCTTTTGAAACATCCTGTAAAGAGCGGTCAGGTAAAGTGGAAGAGGATGCCATGGCAAGGAAAATCTCAGAAACAAAAGGATAGGTGTTGTATGATAGTTTCAAAGGAAATTAAAAATTGAAGAGAATGGAATATAGACTCTGAAGTTAGACATAAAAAAAATTTCCTTTCAAAATTGAAGAGAATTTTCCTGATAGTGTAATAGAAGCCAAGTTGATGTAGGTAGTAAAGGTAACATATTAACAATTATGAGCCAGTTTGACAATAAACAGGAAAAGCGATCATAAGTATGAGTATGGCTTATATTTTATTAAGTATGAGTTTCTGAGGCTTGTTTAGCACATAGCTAAAGATTCAATCAAGGAGATTGGCAGTTAAGAGGAAAGAAGACAGTGAAACAAATATATTAGTGTAAGAGATTAGAGAGGAATATTGAGATACATAAATTCTGAAATGCTTTGGAAAGCAGTGTTTTAAAAAGTTAGGGGTAGGGAAGAAGCCAGGAAGTGCAGAAGAGCGTTTGCTTTGGGTGATACATTCTCTAGGGGAGAGTCACAAAAGCTTTGTATTCTCCAGAAAAGAGCAGCACAGAAGTTGACCAAACTCAAGCAGGAAATGGTGAAGAACTCTCAGAACAACCAGTCCCATTTTAACTGTTTTCCACTACCCAGTTAAGGCATGCGTGCTTCTCCACAAGCTCTAGAAGTATAACAAATAAGAACTAGGATATGTAAGCTTAAAATTTAAGTATTAAAAAATAAATCAGAAACTTGATGAATGATAGCTAATTAGTACAACAGAATCAGCAAGCAAAGTCTATAGGAAGCATGTAGTAGAAAACGTCAACGGGAGGGGTGGTGTTATATGTCAAAACACTTTCCAGGCCTAGGAAAGAAAAAATACAGTATTAAGGCTACACCACCAACCTCCTAACCAAGATGGCAACAGTGAACATAGTAGCAGAGTGGCTGCTAGTTCAGTAAGCAGAACAATATAGGAGTTTTCATATATATCACTGCTGGCTACAGAAATGGAGCATACAGAGAAAAAATTTTAGACAAGGTGAATGAAATTTCCCTGGAGCAGATAGTGAGGGAACCGTCAAAAGGAGAAGCAAGTCTCAGCTGGTTCCTGAGCAGTGCAATTCACAGTCTTGTTATTGAAAAGCTCTTCTGCACCTATATCAGTAGAGTACTTGAATCTAGTACTGCAAAAGCAGTAACAGTCAGGAAGTCCACTGCTGAGGAATTTAAGTTAAATGAGACAGAGATAAGTTAAAACTTGAGAGGGACAGCCGAAAGATAAAGTATTTTGCAGATTGTATGTAATTAAAGATGCTACGTTGGAGGAGCAGAGAAAATGCATGCCATGCATTATAGAATGACTTGACAAAGGTTTTTAAAAAGTCAGTGTGGCTAAACACCACTGTAAGGGAGGATATTAGAAGTAAGAAGTCATCCTTCAAAAAGGTAAAGCTGTGTGCAAATGAGAATGAAGGGAAAGGATATAAGGTTTAAAGTTCAGTGAAGAGTGAGAAAAAGGGCTTAAGATGTACTTTGTGAAAGCGCAATTTTGTACATCTGTTCATAGTGCAGAAGTTCAGTCTAGAAGCCTTCTTTATAGGGAATGCATCAAAGGATCTGTCCCCGATTGAAATGTCAGTGGAAAGGGCTGTTGAACGAATCAACAAAATGATCAGTAGCAAATAATCAACATCTGTAAGAGATAAGTTTGTAGAAACTGAAGGAGAGTAGAATCATTGAATGCAGAGATAAATTTTGAATTTTTGAACCTCTCTTCAGGGAGAGGTCAGCATGGTTTTTCGTAAAGTCATTCTTTTGTAAAGTCATGCCTGACAAATCTGTTGGCGTTCTTTAAAGGAAGATTAATACGACCTACTTAAAGTTCGAGAGAGTGTTTCATTAAGAGCCATCACAAAAAACTTTCTGAAGAAGGTAAGCTGCCATGGATAGGAAGCTGGTTAGAAGATAAGAAATATAGGGAAAAATGAATGGTAAGATTTTTTTTAAGTGAGGGCACGTCACCAGCTGGGTCTGCAGGGACATGTTAGGACATGCTTTTCAGCATATTCATAAATTGTAATAAATAGTAAAAGGACAGTATTTTTGACAAGAAGAAGTCATTTGATTGTATATAAATGTATATTTTTATGCCAGTCTGTATGTTTTTTTTAATGAGATGCTGTGGAGTGTGTGAAGTAGAGGAAAGCTGCCATCCAACTGCAAAAAGGTAAAAGGAAAAAGAGAATTTCATGCAGTTGCATCAGAGCAAAATGTATCATGGGCTGCTTAAACATATTATAATGGCTTTTCTTTACCTTCTTAAATCTCTGCTGCCATGGCTAGACTGCATCTTGATAGCCCTGGTTAGAACGGTGAGGATGCTGTAGCTGATCTGTGGTCAAGTAACTTTATCCAAGCTAGGCAGGCTCTCTGGAGAATTCAAGACTGCTGTCTACAAGAAATGGGTCCCAATATTCCCTCATTTGGAAAAGAAGAAAGCGTAATAGGCAGTGGGACAGCTTTTACTGTTCAAGACAACTTCAGTAATCTACAAGGATTTAGTGAATGGAATAAAATATGTCCATTTGCATTTTAACAGCCAATAAAGATAGTAGATGACTGAGCTTCACTGTTAAATACAAAAAACATCATTAGAATGAAGAATTTTTTCCATAAAGTTATAATAAACTCTTGTCTTGAAGATTTACCAAGCTTGCTGTCTTCTAATTGGCTACAGATTTTTACAATTACATTATTAGAATGGATGTGTATAAATGATGAGATTGACGCAACTGTCTCTGTATTAAAATCAAGATCAAAGATAGCCGATTTTGGATTAGCTGGATTGGTCTTGTACCATTTTTATTTTTCAATAGCAAGAAATAAAGATACTGAAATAGCTGTGATTCTGAAAGTGCTGCCTCTTTTGAAAAATATATTTTTCCCAACTGAATGTTCAGTTTTCTTCAAACTGGCTTGTTATTTATGGTTTTAGTAGGCCATTAATGCACTGCTGCAATTTGCTTTATTCACGTTGTTAGAATAGGTAAAGTTTTTAAGCATTTTGAAATAATATATTAAGCAAATCCACCAAAAAATAGGGACTTTTAGTTTAATCTCTATATTTTGAAGGATTTTCTTTTCTCTCAAGTAAATATCACAACATTTTTGACTTTATAGTTTCATTTTGGTTATCTTTTTAGATATTTGAATAAAAAATAAATAATTGGGTTTCGGCTTGTGTCTTGTGCTAAGACTGTAGTTGTTATTGAACACTTGATTCAAACTACATTTGTTACTGTCTGGTTCTAAAGGAATGGATTTACAGTGAATTGGATCCTGCTCTCACTTGAAATCAAACAAAATATTCCTATTTGCTTCTGTAGCAGTACAATCTGAACTTAATGCATCATTTGTAGAATCTTGTAATCAACTTGTCAGTTGATGTCTTGGATATAAGATGTCTGCATTTCTCATCAAAAAGAACTAAATGTTCTATAACAATCTTGCTTTGTGCTGAGTAACCCTCAAATAGAGAACTGAAGAGCTTGAACTTTCTGATGTTTTTGATACAAAACAGTTTTCAGGACTATTGTACCTTGTACCTAGAATATTTTCTCCGGCAAGAAATGGGCATGAAATAGGAAAGTGGAACAAGTTGGCAGTGTTTTTTGTTTTACTTACAGTTTGGACCATATTTTGTCAAGACTGCGTTAACATTCAGAATTATCAGATTATGTATTAAGTCTCAGTAATAATTTTATTCATCAGCTTTCCAAAATTATGTTTAGTCCTAGCTACATCTTACAACAGCATTAAATAAAACTGTTTACAATGTATTTTATAAATATATTGATAAAAATATCAATGTATCAAAATATCAAAAATATTGACAAAAAATTATCAGTGGTATGCAAACACAAGCTTGTAATATGTGCATTTCTTTTCTGATTTGTATCCAAGCTTTCAAAATTGATGAAATAGGAAAACTCCTTTCTACTTAAGAAATGTATTCTTACAAACGGATGCAATTTAGTAGTTTAACGAGGTGGGGGGGTGGATATAGCCTTTTTTTGAGCTGGACTGTAATGATTATAGTTAGAAGTGATTAGGCTTGTTGTTTAAGAAGAGTTTAGTTGCTGTGCTTTGCTTCATTTGACTGCTGAAGCCTGTGTATATACTAGGTATTCCAGTTGAATTCAGTGATAGTTCTCCATACAGAAAGTCTGAGCACATCTTTCAGCATCCCAATATATAGATAAGTATGAACAGTCCTTTTTATTACCTGTGGAGAATCTGAAAAACAGAGAATTAGAGGCACACACTTCATGGAATTGAGACCCCCTCAGCTTTGCCAATTAGACTCTGTAAGTTTACATTTGCACTCAAAATGCAAAGGCAGCCTTGCCTTAAGCTGTTCAGTAAGTCATGGAAAATCAATTACAAGCATCGCCTGAGAGGTCCAGCATTCAGTTTCTGCTGTATCAGTGCTGCTTAATATTTGGCAAGGCTGTACAGCTACTTTTAGAGGTCCTTTAGGATGGTTCACAGCACAGGTGCATTCACTTGGTAGGAGCAAATTACCTGTCATAACTACCAAAGTGCAGACATCTCGTACTCTGATTGTCTCATCTCCTACTATGTGCTGGGAGACATTGGTATTTGGGTTGCAAGTCATAATTATGGGACGTGCAAGTAGTTGCCTTTCAGACATGCATGCATACACCCACTGCATTGATGCAGCACCGGCATAGCATGTGGGCACTGGGAAACGCGTCTCATCGCAGGCAGCCCCTTCACATGGAGCCACAGGAAGGAAGTCTCCGAGGCCAGCCGTGAGCAGGAGGAATCATTTCGCAGGCTAGAGGTCCATCAGCTCCACCACGTCAGTCCCAAACGTTTACCCCAGCCACCCAGAGTCACAGGAGGGTTGGCGGTCTGGTCCAGCCTCCTGCTTGAAACGGGGCTAGTGCCAGTGCAAGCTCAGCAGGGTGTTTGTCCAGCTAAGTACCAACCACCTCCAAAGGTGGAGACCCTGCAGCCTCTTTTGATGACCTGCCCCTGTGCTTGGTGACAATCCCGGTGAAGAAATTTTTTATGAAGTTTAATCTGAACTTTGCACATCGCAACTTGTGGCTGTTAGCCTGTTGTACCACCTGCCACTACCAAGAAGTCTCTGGCTCTTACACTATATACTGCTTCATTTTCAAGGTTATGACCCCACTTCAGGTTGTGCCCTATGTCACAGCTGGATTTCTGTCAGGTCCAGAACTTATCTTGTCAGTGCTGACTTTGTGAACTATGCATGCCACCTTTGTTTGTTTCAAACAGAGAGATACTATAAATAACGTTGAGTTGAAAAACTTAAAAAAATTACCAGTGTATAGACCAAGCGTGATCAAATAAATGTGGTTTAGTCAATCAATCCTATAATAACACTGATGCAAAGAAGATTAAGGAAGAAATATTTGACTGTAGTTTAATATGTTGACTATTCTCTATTAATGTATTTGTCTGTATTTAATTTCTTCTAAAAATTAAGTTTTTGATATAACTAACACTTTCTTGGCTGAGAGAAGAAAGATTGGCATATGATTGCTTTATTATTTTAAATTGATATTGGACGTGTACATATTTACCTCTTCTTGTTTTTAGGCCTGAGGAGTTCATATGCTAGTCAACACAGTCAACTAGGACCAGAACTGCGATCAACTGTGTCTCCTGACTTGCACATCACCCCTATCTATGAAGGCAGAACTTATTACAGTCCAGTATATCGTAGTCCAAATCATGGGACGATTGAGCTACACCAGGGATCCCAGTCAGCTTTGTATCGAACAGGATCCGGTGGGTAAAGCACTTCCACTGCTCTTCCATTAAACGTGCACCAGAGTTTCGCTTGAGCTTTTCTGGAACATATGGCAATAATAGGAGATATGTAATGCCAGTTTAAAAGGAGAAACTAGACGTTATAGATCAATGGAGATAAAGGCAAGGTTTGAAGGACTTAAACAGCATCAACTGAAAAGGTTTTCCAATGCTTGCCAGAAATACTTGGCACTATATAACAGTGTCAACTTAGAGTCACAATATTTTCCATTTGATACTGTACAGTCAGATACCTCAA